TGATGATGATGATGATGATGATGATGATGATGATGACGACCTTTTACCCCATAGGATGCTCTATCACAGTGAATTGTGCAAATTTACTGTGATAGAGAAGAATTTGAAAACAGTAAAAATCTTACCTTTGAAATTTCTCCTGTATGACCTTCAAGTTTTGCAATACATTTTTTTGTTTCTGCATCATACACTCTTGCTGATCCTTTAGTAAGAAAAGAAGAATCTAAATATCTTAGTTATGTTTTTGTTAAATCTTAATAAATTCAAATAGAATTCTGATAAAAATAGAGGTTATATGCTGGAAATGACTAACTATTTTCCTAAACATGTTTATTTGCAAGTAATAACATACAGTCTAGAGGGACTTATTTTTAAGTAAACATCCACAGTCTTGAAATATAAGCCCCTGGTGCTCTCTAGTCACTGAAAGAAACAGGTTGGACTGCAAACAAATAAAAAGCCTATGATTGCTTTAAAAGTGTTATCATAAGTGACTTGGAAGTTTCTGAAGCTCTTTTGCTGATGAAATTTATGTCACAGAGTATGATAAAAGATGGATTCAAATGTTATATACCTATGAGAAAGATCTCTTTGGAATGATCAGACAATTCAAGTAATCATTGAAAATGACTCACCATATGAATACCCCTAATCACTAATCTTTCCTGGCAGTTATTGATATTGTCACAGAGGCTTTTTATATAATTGAGTCTACACAAAAATCAAGCTCTCTTCCAAGAAACACCTTATCAAAACACCTCTAATGAAAAATTTTCAGTGGCCTTTACATGCAGGCCAAAAAAATTAATCATTAATAAGGCACACAATAATTTGTTAGAGTTCTGCTGGAAATACCTTCTGACAGAATGTACAACAGAAGTGAAAAACCATTTTAATTTTTCAGAAATGCTCTTCCAGCTCACTGACCAGACAATTAGCTAATTTCACCTACCATCAGCTGAGGCACTTGCTATACGCTGGCCAGTATAATCAAAACAAACATCTAATACTTCATCATCGTGGCCTGTTAAGGTTGCCACCCGCTTGCCTGTCAAAGCATTCCAAAGCTGCAATGTGGAGAGAACGCATTAAAATAACCCACGCAAATAATTTCAGGCAATCAAAAGCAATGTTTTTATATATGAGACTGGACTTTCATTGCAAGTATAGCTAGCCTCTAATCTTTTTCTTCAAAAGAATACAGAATTAGTGTTAAGCACCGTAAAAGATACTTTGTACAGCATGATAGCGATGTAAATTAGATATTTACTGACATTCTTTTTCAATGCAAGTCGCTCTTTTACAGAATTGTTATGGATAGATATAGTTCACCAGATTTCAATAGGTAGTTATCTTTCTTTTCCAGCCCAGGTTGGTATGTAGTGTATTATTGTTGTTGGTGTTCCTAGGCAGTTGACATGTGTTCCAGAAATCACTTGAGGTGGTATTTCTAGAATTTAGCCTTTGAATGATCTAAAAGTGTGACAAATATGTTATTAAATGGCTCAATAAAAAGGTGTCTGTCTAGTCTGCCAATA